GTTTCTCGCCCGGTATCCGGGGCTTCATCCCGACTAATCCGGACCCGACTCGCGTCGCGCACCTGAAAATGGTGGGTGAGTCTCTCAGTGGGAACTGTTGCGTACACAAGGTCTCAAAATCGAGATCTTGTTTAAACTAAAACAAATCACTTACCACTTGATTCAACCCTTGTTAGTTCCTACACTGTAAAGTTATTTCTATGGTTTGTTGTCTTATAAGTCCCGTCACATGCGGAGCCTCTTTTTCTATTTTTTAACAAGGAAATCTCAAAGGGAGGTGTTAATGTTATTTTAGAAATACTTTAAATATCGATATATTTAATATATTGCATATTTGACACTTTACAATAACCACCCCTAAATTGTGGAGCCATTTCTATGGGCCGTCGTCTTGTAAGTCCCACCATGTGCTAGGGGTGGTGTTATTGCCACAGCCACTAATGTTAATGCCACAGCTTTTTTTAGTTATTTGACTATTATACCCCTCATTTGAATCCAACTTGCAGCAGTCACCACCTTCTCCGCGTGGGTTAATGGTCAAATAACTTAAAAAAAGCTGTGGCATTAACATTAGTGGCTGTGGCAATAACACCACCCTGTGCTAGAGTTAGTTTCTCTTTTTTCCTTTTTCTTTTTTTCTTTTTTTTAAAAAAACAAGGGAACGTTGGAAGGAGTTAGTAATAGTATTACTTAAAAAATTTTTTACGAAAAACTGGTTGTCAGGACTGACTGGCAGTCCTGATAATATTCAAATCATTCATCCTGTGGCCTCCACTAATGGAGGCCACATAATGGGTCGTCGGGATGTTGTCAGAACTGTTGATTTTTTTTATGATAAAAAAATTATTAAAAATTAAAAATTAAATTAATATTTTATTTTCAATAAGATTTAATTATTGATCAAGGGTGTAATTCATTGACAATCTTATTAAACTGCAGTGATCACCAATAAATCACAACAAAAAATACGTCAGAACTATTGATCAATCCTGCATTTCCTCGTCTCAAAACTTTAAATATCGGTATACTTAATATATTGTATATTTGACGCTGTACAATAACCACCCCTAAATTAAGAAGCCATTTTTATGGGCTGTGGTCTTGTAAGTCCCATCACGTGCTGAGTCAGTTTCTCTCTCTGTCCTTTTTTTTAATTGTTTTTAACAAAGGAATCTTGAAAGAAGGAGTCAGTATTATTTAAAAAAATTTTAAATATCAGTATAGACGTTAATACATTGTATGTTTAATTCTTTACAATAACCACCCCTAAATTATGGAGCTATTTCTAGGTTAAATGTTAAATTTGGTCCCTCAATTTTAGTGAGTTACACATTTTTGGTCCCTCAACAATTTTTTACACTTTTTTGATCCCTCAACTCTAAGAAATGCACTCCGTTAGTCATTCTATCAATTTAGATCGTTAACTCGCTTATGTGGCATTTTTTATAATTTTTTTGATGACATGGCAAAAACAAATTTAAAAAGTGCTGATTTGGAATTTTTTTTAAGCCATGTCATCGCCAACTCATCCAACTCATTGCCAACTCATAAATTGATTTTACCTTAATAAAAAAATAAAAAATTACAAATTTACCCATTC